TGTGCGGACCACCGTAGCTACGAGAGTCAACCTTGGAAAGAAATGTATTTATGTTTTGCATCATTTTTGTTTTTTGATCCCCCGCCCGTTAATGGAATATTGCTCTTCCCTCTGCACGTTTGGGTCCGTTTACGTTTGTTTTGATTCATGTTTGTTTTTCTTGGTCCCCTGAAATATATTTATTTTTTGATTGTTGTTTTTTGTTGATCCCTCGCCCGTTTTCTGTCCTGGGTTGGAACAGTCCAAGAAAGAGCGTTCTCCGAAATGCCCAGAGGTTCAGTGAGATTGGCAAGGTTCACTCGAAATAGTTGGATCCCAAACTGGTGTGAGTCGCAGGAAGATCCCAAGCATGTATATAGCTAAGTGTTCTTCTCTATGTGCATTCACCCTACCACACTCGCCCGGAGGGCAAGGAGTGTGTAGTGGGTGGAGTGTTGCGCAAGCTCCGGTGCCCCAATCCATGGTTTTTGAACACTTCCCATGAGGCAGTCAGGTACATTTGTGGGAGTGAATGTGAGCATGCGGAGGTTTCGGCCAAGGCCACATCTCCAAGAGTTTTTGTACATGGTTCTTCCACCCTTTCCACCCCAAATAGGGGGTGTTGCCGAAGAAGACGCGCCAGCTCAGTTGCAGGCTACGCCCCACCATCTCCACCACCATCACCGCCCGGACGATCCCTTAGAATCGCGGGCTGCGGACAATCTGCAAGGATTGTTTCGCAGATGTGCACAAGCCTGGTAGCATATCAATTTCTTTAAAGTTCAGTCATGTTCGGTCATATCATTTTTGCAAATTGCAATCTGAGGGCAAATCTGCCATTTTGCTGCCCGGTCGTTTGGAGAACAAGAATATTCGGCTCATGCTCACTCATTTGATTTGATTCCCAACAGAGTGTGATTCACTAAAGGTTCAGCAATTCCCAGCAACCAAGACATGGAATCCTTTTTTGGGATTGTCCAAAAGACACCCCGATCAACCCCAAAGAAGGGCCACATTGCCATTGTGTTAATTGAAAGGCGATTCCCACCGTTTAGACCTGTTTGTGGCACACCTGAGCACCGAGATCAGTGGCATTCGGCTGTTTTCTGTAGTGAGTTGCATTATTTGAGGCCAAAGGCAAAGACTGCAAGTGTTCCAATCTTCAAACTCACTGCACTCAGTGGTAGTTGCTACCGATGCCCGATTTCCTTCGATTTCGCAAGTGGCTGGATCTGAGGCCACTGAGCCCGTTGATGCCAAGGCGTACAACATTGGACCGTTGGCCAGTGATGGTTTCGCACGCGGTGTGGTATAGGCCACCACAGAGAATCACACCGACAGATGTTGTAGGACATGGTGTCGGTTGGATTGCTGGTCTGATTCGAGTGAAAGTACCGGGAAGCTTGCAGTTCAAGCCGTTCAAGCCATTGGCAGACATGGATATGTCCGACCCAGCCACACATGCACTAGTCACTAGATGATATGATTCATGCTGCATCACATCCAGCCTCCAAACAACCCAACCGGTGGGTCAGAGGGTTCATGAACGAAAGGTGCAAGAGACCCCTATCCCTTCTTGGAAGCGGCGAAAGCCGAAGCATCTAAGTCTAAGTGGTTTAGAAGATCTCTTTCGGAGTGGCCTTGTCTAGGAGTGCCGTGAGACCTGCTTCGGCACCAACAATGAGGCTGGTACAGCTTGTTCTGGGCCGAATCCGCGGTGAGGTGACGATCCGATCCAAAGAACGACCCGACCCAGGACATCGTTTCGCACGCACCCGACGAAACGCCCAACGACCCGCTTCTGTCAGAGGTCGGAAGTCTGTGGCTGCACCGAAATCTACAGGGAACGGTGGTTGTGGTATGTTGTGGTGTTCTCCGAGGCGTTTTTGGACAGTAACCAAGCTCAAGGACCGGGCTGGGGACCTTTTGTTGGTCGTTGAATCCCATTTTTGCAAAACGCAGGTTAGGTGGTCTCTGTGAAAGCCATAAACTCCCATCAAGACATGGTGGTGCCATGTATGATCATGTACTGTATGTCGCTGATCATTATGAATTAAGTATAATTAGCAATATATACATATATCTAGTATACAAACCTATCTCCCGATGCGCGTATGGCATATGTACATCTGGTATATCCCTAAAAATTCTAATGAATCCATCATTTCTCCAGCTGTTGGACAACAGCAATCCAGAGGCCTGGTCTCCGTGCGCCCCTCACGGTGCTGGCGCGGCCGGTGCGATCCACCTCAGCCGTCCGGGGGCCGGCGACGGTCGCACGGCCGATGCCGCTCAGCACGGTGCGGCCGATCAATGTGACTCGGTGGAATTTTGAGGATATTGTTTCTACTAGCTTCTTGTTCCTAGTAGTCAGGCCCTTGTTCCTAGTAGCGATGCCCTTTGCTCCTAGTAGCGTCCTTTGCTTTCTGATGTTGGTATCGCGTGTGGCGAAGAAGAGGCTTTTGGAAGACTGGGAGGACCGTCCTGTAGAAGCATAGAACTAAACCCACGATGCAAACGGATCCTAGCAAATGGTTGGTAATTAATGAATTTGAGCCGCTTACATGCGCATGGAAGTGAGCTGTGGCTCGCATCTTAATGTCCTCAAGGTTAATTTTGAACAAAGGGGAAAGAGTGACCCGGCATATAGACAGACTCGGGAAGGGACAGATGGAGCCACTGGAGAGTGGAGTCTTGCTTTTCTGAAGACACGGGCTCCAAGCAGAGTTTGGATTGTACTGTAGATTATAGATATCTATAGAATTGTATACTGATACTGTAGAGCGTAGAGCAATATATATATATATTATTTCTATATAATAAGTAATCTTAGGGCAAACGCATTGGGTCCTTGACAATGGCTTTTTGCATTGTTCCTGTGGATACCGCCCGAAGCCCTGAAGAAACCTAAGTGAAAAAATGGTCTGGGTAAACCGGGTAAACATGTATATAAGGCGGTCTGACTATCCCCGAAAGCTTCGAGTCATCCAACGAAAGCTCCAAGTGCTCAATAGAAGGCTCCAAGTTCACAAAGACGAACGATCGACGAGCACTTGTCTGCAGAAGGCAAAACGGATGCAACAGCTGGTCATCTTGTTCTAGTAGTAACGAATAATATTCAGAACATAGTAGGTACACAGAGCTGATCAGGCTCTGCTTCCAGCACAAGTGGATAGCTTCGTTGGGTGCAGTCTCCACTGTGTTCTGCACCCCCTGCTTGTATGTAATTTCCAAAGACCAGAGCCCCTCTGATTCTAAGGGTTACACACACTTAGATCCATGCTCGCAAGAGCTAAATCAGTTTGGAAATTCCGGAAGCTAGTTACTGATTACATTAGACCTTGACTTGCACACAACAGCAAGAATGCTGGGTCAGAGAACAGAATTGTTTGAACATCACGCGTTAGCACTTTAGGACTTTAGGAAAAGAGTGATCAGCTTTCACTTCCCGTGCGTCAGGTAGCTTCGTTGGACATGGTCCCTGAGCGCGTGCCATGTCCTCCTGCGGAGCTGTACATAGTTGGAATTAAAGGTGCCTACGAGGTGAAAACAAACAATGTGGCTGTTATCCCTTGGACCTTATCCATAGCGCACGACAGGGAAGTAGACTACCGGGCATTTTGCCGGTCCCGTCATGGAACTCTTATTACAGCTCCCACCCTGGCTACACCATGGACCATGTATGATTACAATACAAATAGTGTCATTGTAAGTAGAAGGAGTCAGACATTGAGCATTCCAGCGCCAAAAGAGGGACTTAGGATCCACAAGAACCATGAAGAACCTAACCCTATCAAGTGCTGGGGCTCGATATTTGCGGACTCGTCTCCCTTTTGTCCAGCTTTCGAGGCACGTCCTGGGCTCAGGCCTCGTTTGCTTCGGGGGGGACATGATGCAACCTCGTCTGGAAGCAACATGTTTCCTGTTTTCGATTTGTTTTGCATTGCGTGTTTTCGACAAGACTTGCACATGTTTTTTCTTTTCGGAAGGCGCAAGGGTCTTTGCACATGAGGTATCGGTGGGCGTAGTTCAAAATGAGAACCCCCCTCATTGATCATACGTGCTGGCAGAGTGAAAGGCTTCCAAGGACATGCAGATCCGTTCATCGTCAATTGAGAAGAACACCTCATCTACTTATTTACATCATTACCAATAGTCTTACTTACTCGATTCCCAGTTGCCTGGGAAGCGTGGTCAACCCCCTCCAGGCCTCCTGGGCCATTGGGCGTCAGGCCACGGATGGTGAGGGTCTCAGATGGGTCTGTGATGTGCTTTCAGGTTTTGAGCCAGAAGTGCCAGAGGGGACTCACAATGGACTCTGCCTCTCGTTGGTGTTCCATGTTCATGCCTTGGGGCCTTGGGTGCATTCAAGGTATGACTTTTCAAGTACCTTGTGAGCAACTTTACAATTCGTCCTTGGAGAATGAAGACGTGACGATCGCACCATCGAAGCTTTCACTGTGCAGCTGCAAGACGAGGTGAGCACACCTGTATTCCAAATGACCAGGCTGGCGGGAATGAGGTCAAACTCACTCAAACATTCCAGACAGTGCAAAGAAGTTGACTCAAAAAGGAACCCGAAACAGGACTCAGACAAAAGACGGCTCAAAATCACTCAGGTGGAGGTGGCTCGGGCTGGGTGGACATTTGGCAGAAATCCAGAAGCCTCAGTACCTGAAAGGGTACTCAAAAAAAGACTCAAATTCGGACTCGACTAAATACTCAAACCTAAACTCAAAACGACTCAAATCTGGACTCAAGCAGATTCATCCGCTTTGCTCATTGAGTCCGAAATTGAATCTTATCTGAGTCTTTTTTGAGTCCAGAATCTGAGTGCGTTTTTCCTGTGGAGTTTTTGGGTCGCGTCTGAATTGAGTGTTCTTTTGAGCTTTCTGGTTTTGTTATGAAACTTATCTCTCAGAATGTGCTTCCATAAATCTAGGTCAATACTAAGCGAAATCATTCCATATACCCTGACTTTCCTATTATGTATGCAATATGCAGGTATAAATAGCCAAAAACAATATTAATTCCAATAAATCAATCGATATATATATATATATAATATGATTAATTGTATATTCTAACAAATTAATATATAATACCTTTAAAATAATTATATAAATAAATTATAATATACAAATCTATAAATCTCAATATTTTGATTAAATTGGTATAAACGAAAAATAAATATAATATATTAAATAATTATATTTATATGGAATTTAATTAACTATAAATTAAAGGATGTAATATTTTTATATATGATATTTTGGTATTGAAAATAGGCGGGGGTAAAAATGAATGGAAAAGGTATAATAGGAAATGATATATAAATGAAGAATAGAATTATAATATGTAAAATATTATAAATTTATAAATATAAATTACTTTTATTATTTGAATATTATGTAAATTTAACGAATATATTGAAAATTTTTTAAATTTTATATAGAATTTATTTATTTATAGATTAAAATATAATTTATATATATGTAATATATATTATTATTATTGAAAATGTATAATGATATATATTAATTTAGTATATAATTAAATATTACTATGTAAATTAGCATTAATTAATTGTATTTTTTTTGTTTTATAAATTTTAGAGGGGATTGGGATGTTCGAAATCGCTATATTACGTGAAATTTTATATGTAGAGGGAAATATAAAAATTTAATATGAAAGGATCCTTTTTTTTTCCGTATTTTTGGTATATTTTTTTTGTGGCATTTATTTTGATTTAATGTAATATATTAAAAGATTTATAAGTTAAGGTTGTTTGTAATATTGTTGTTATATGTTTATAATATTTTACCTTATGACGAGGTCGTATAAATTATCTTTCTAATTATTCCATATATATTTTTACAAACAAATTATTTTATTCCGCTTGATATTTTATTAGTTTTTTGTCTTTGGACGACGTTATATACTTCGCTTCCATTGACACATATATATTCTTCCTAGTTTTCGTTACTTACCCTCGGCCTCAAACAATTATATTTTTATGGAATATTTATTAATTATATATTCGTTATTATTCCTTTTGTTTATCGTTTTATAAATTTATATATGGAATATATGAATAATTTAATCGTTATTATTATTGAATTTTTTTTTTAGGAAAGGAATATTAAATCTTTTTCGTATTATTATTTTTTATTGATGTAATAATGGGAAAATTTATATATAAATCATTAAATAAATGAATAAAAACAATTATATATTAAATAAAAAATATTATATTTTTGATACAAATTTTTGATAATTATGTTTAATTTTAGTTTTGCCTTTTTGGAGTTGTGGGGATAAATGGAGGTATCGTATGGAATGGTGCGTGAGGTGGTGCTTAGATAAAATGGTCGGGATTTGGATTATATTTTGTGATGCGCAAAATGGTATATGGAATGGGGCTAAATGATACGTAAATAAAATATTCCGGGGGTTTATTCACAAAATAAAATGTAATGATAACACAAATATATTATTTATTTATTTATTTAATTTTATGCGAATAAAATTATTATTAAAAGATTAGCAAAATTATGCCCTTATTAATAAAATGATTGGACATAAAAGATTTGTATTATAATTGCGGAGTACAAGATTCCTCCCCTGAGGAA